TTATATCGAATTAAGAGCCTGTTTGTCATCCATTTTTGTTGTTAAAATGGTGTAATGAATAGTATTTTTTGGAGAATGTGTGGTTGAAATTTAAAGTTACTTTATCGGTTTATGTGTAGAATATTTTATTGGATAAATGTGTGGTGAAGAATCTTACTGTAGCAAACAATGTTTTGAAATAATGGATGACAAACAGGGGCTGAATATAATCAAGATGAGAAGAAGTTAAATGCAGAGTTTAATAGTACAACATGCCAAACAAGTTATTAGAAGCTTTGATTATAGGCACTTTTTTGCTTTCAGAAACATTTCTTGGCCAACAACGTACCTTGCGTGATTTTTGAGGAGCGAGATTGAATTCCTTGAAGGGCTGAAAGAACTGAAGGAAACAAAATGAGCGGACAGGTAGTTCGATGAATATATATTTAGGTAAAATTCTACATTAGTTAAATATAAAAATGATAAAAACTAGTTTTTGTTAAGAGAGAAATTTCAAATTAGTTATATTAACCAAAGTAAAGGTTTGAGTTGCTCTAAAGAAACTTGTTCTTTTGAAATGGAACCAAGTCTTACTAGTTTCCCGGACTAATAGTAGTTTAGTTTAGCTCTATTGGTTTTTGACTTTTTGTCGATTAGGGTATATTTGATACACGTAACTATAAAGAACACGACTAGATAAGATTAAGGAGATGCAAATTGTCAGTTGTCATGTCCAACTCAACGTGCCGAAAACAAGTTTTCAATAAGCCCTTGTTTGTTAGACATTATTTGTCCATTTCTAGAAAAATTATTATCGTTGAACAGTGGGGGCCGCTGAAATATTTGACCAGCACGTGAGATAGTGGGGCCGAATAATTTGAAAAAAAGGGCAAAATTCTTCATTTTTTCCTCAAAGTAATGCAGGCCAAACAGCGGCTTAATCGTAGAAGCGGAAATTACCACTAGTTGCTGGGGTAAGTGCTCCATCCCCAATAACCATGCAAGTTCCAAGCAACACAAGAATAGTAAGAAAGTTTTGAGCAGTATGATTTGTCTCAAGAAATTTCCTCGTCCTCGTGCGCAGAGGGATTCCTCGACTGTAGTAAGTCACATCTTCATGCGACTCCAATCTTGTATTACCGATGCTGAATTTGCTCCGAATTTTAATATGTCGACATATATAAGAATACAGAGCGAAAGTTCCACCTTCTCCATGATCGTTTGCTTCGAGAACAATAAACACGTATTTTATTAACACGAGACCCGTTAATGTCCAGATAATTAGGCTTAGTGTTCCTAATAGATCTTCTTCTGTGAGTTTTGTTAATCGAGTTGAGGAGAATACATTGAGAGGGGAAGTTCCTAGGTCTCCATAAACAACTCCAAGGGACTGGTAAGCTAACACCAAAGTTTGCATGGCTGGATACTCCTGAGACCATAAAAAATTCATCAACTTCTGATATTATTACAGAAATCTACTTTGAACAACCTTATAGATGTCGACAAATTTATCAACTAGACCCTTTGCGTGCATGCTGAAATTGGCATTTACAGTTTTTGTATGATAGCGAGACTTGAACTAAGAACATCTGACTGCTCTGATACCATGTTGAATCATCTCATTTAAAAACTTAAGTTGACAAGAAAATGGGCAAATGAATTCAATAATCTTGTCTTTAACACAGCACATCACATTAGGTCAACTCATTTTTTAAAATCAAAAGTTTGATGCACGTATAATTTTCATAAATGAGCGATGACAAAACTTGTATTCACTTTTACCTTAGCTATGCTCTGAGGAGATTGTTCATATGTTCGAGTAAAACTCATGCAACTGTCAACGACAACTACTGCTCCTTCTTCAACCAGTTCATCGCACAAGATAGAATCACCATTTTCGACATCGTCCTTTGCTATATCATTTTCCATTCTTCTTAACGATTTCTAGTGTAACATTTTTGCCTACTTTCCTAGTTATATAGTCCAAGATATGTCTTGTGTACTGAATTTTCAGCCACAAAAATTAATAATTATTTTCAGCCACTAAATTTTCAGCCACAAAAATTTTTAGCCCTCTTTTGATCCCATTATTTCCAATAAGTAAAAATAGTTCTTATTAATTATTGAACACGTCTTCTGGATTTAACTTCATTAAAACAAGAAAAAAATTAAAATTTTTGCACTAAGAAAATGGAAATCATTGTCAAAAAGGACTCGAAAGATAACGTAACGCTAGTGGTGCTGACCTTCGTTTAATATATTACTACATTAATTTAGTACTCTTAATCTCAAGGAAGAGAATGAGGTCGTTTGATTGTTAAACTAACACTAAAATTATAAGTGACACCGTTAATTACCTATGTGCACTTTCACCCAAGCAAGTCCCAACCATTTCAATTTTTAGTCTATAAAAAAAATATGTGACTTTTTTTTTTTAATCCGATCCTAAATTCATCCCCGCCTAAATGTTACCAAATGACATGCCAAGTCAGTATTAATCGTTGTTAAAATGAAATACATGAATTTATTATATGATGTAAGCATAATCTGATAAAAAATTAGAATCGTATTACTTTTTCAATTCCCAATTTTACTATCGAGTTGGTTCTCTAAACCTTGATGGCACCTAATTTTTCTTTGAAAAATAAAAATATATAGGCAAGTTAGGGAGTCAAATGACCTTCGACAGTATCCAAATAGAAAAGAATAATGATATCAAACACTACTGATACTATAACAAAAGTTTATGTGTCTTTATGTAATAATTAAATGAAAAGTAGGATTAAATTACTCATTTAACTATACATTTCATATAATAAACATGTTTCATTGGCAAGCCACGATCATGGGCCCTCCAGATAGTCCATATACCGGTGAGGTTTGCCCAGTCACCCTCCTAGGGCGTTCACGTGCTTTAGTTGTCCTGAAACTTTGGAATTTTTCGCCTTTTCTTTTTGTAAATAGAAAATATTATTTGGATTTCATATACATTCATAATGATGACTTTGCAGGTTGCTTTCAGGACAAAAGTTTTCCACCCAAATATTAACAGCAATGGAAGCATATACCTTGATATATTGAAGGAGCAATGGAGCCCTGCCCTAACTATTTCCAAGGTTCGTTTTCCCCACGGCAGATGCCCTAACTTTCTCAAATGAATCTAGTCTCTGTATAAATATTACAAGGAAAAGTGGTGTAATGCTGGTTGTAAAAGTTATGGCACAATCACGCCGGGAATTCAACTGATTGCTTATCTTCAAATTGTACCCTCAGCTTTTAATGAAAATGTAATCACAGAATACATCACTTCATAATTGCATTCCGTGA